CTCTGCCTCAGTCTTCTTGTTCTCCTCAACCTTTGAAGCCTTCTCCGCGTTGTTCTTCTTGCCTGACCCTTCCTGTTCTTTGCTCTTTGAAGCCTTCTTCTCCGAGCTCTCTGCTTCCTCAGTCTTCTTGTCAACCTTCTTCTCGCTTTTCTTCTTGCCCGAGCTATCCTGTTCATTCATTCTAGAAGCCTTCTTCTCTGAGCTCTCTGCCTCAGTCTTCTTCTCCTCAACCTTGGAAGCCTTCTCCTCGCTTTTCTTGTTGCTTGAGCTAGCTTTTTCCTTGCTCTTTGAAGCCTTCTTTGAGCTCTCTACCTCTTTGGTCTTCTTTTGGTCCTCATCCTTTGGAACTTCACTTGTCTTTGCCTCCTTGGTCTTCGTACTGTCCTCAACCTGTTCCCTTTTTCTTTTTTCCTTTATCGTCTTCTCCTCCTCACTCTTCTGCTTCTTGTCCCTCTCCTGATGCTGCTCTTCTGCTTGGGAGTCCCGTGGCCTCTTCGAGTCCTGAAATAAGTGTTCACAAGTATGATGACCAGGATTCCCTTTTCCCATGGGAACACGAATTGTCTCAATCAGGTCTAGGGGTCCTTAGGTGCCATGTGCACAAAATGAGCACAAAACCCGCGAGTTCAAGATTGAGCCCCTCCGGTGACACGGTAATGACACGCATCATGTCCTAGTGACACTAGTCCAACGGTACTCTTCAGAGCCAAAGGGGCCTCTTCAGGGCACCCCTCTGACACGCAAATGACACGCGGTGACACGCATGTTTTTGCTGTTTTGTTTCAATTTGACAGTTCACGCAAATATTGTGTTCAAATGAGCGGAGACACGCATGAAATCCTTAAACAATTGTTTTCCTCGATCTTATGCCACCACTCCAAATTCACCACCAGCCACACACCAGGCCACGCGATGCTCCCATTTGGCATGGGCGCCCTACTGGTGAGGGAAAGGGTGGCGAAAGGGCACTATAGGTGGATGACTTATATACCTTTAGATCCGACGCCACCATGCTTTGCTGGTGCCCTGAAGTAAGTCATCTAAAGCCCCCTCGTCATCACTGACATTTGGATCACCATCCACGATCTCGAAGTCCTGGAGTGGTGAGCGGTGGAAGATGACCATGATTTGGTTTAAGAGATCTATGTTTAATTTTCATATTCCAAAGAATAAACCAAAACAACACCCCAAACAGTGCAGGTGCACACCTACTATGGCCACTGGTCCTTCTGCAAAGGGGCAGCGCTGGGTTTTAGCAATGCTGCAATAGCAAATCCAAAGGCCGATGGGTAGGCTGCGGATCTTTGCAGCGCTTTTGTTTTACCATTCTTAGCTCCCAACACGAGGCTGCCACAACTTGTTCTAGGGTATACCTGTGACCTTTCTATAGGCATGGTGGAAACACAAGTTGATTTGAGACATCCGACCGATGTAGAACATGTGGGCTTTCAAAGCTAGCCTTCAAGGGTCCAACATTTTGGTGGTTCAGCTACTTAATTGGGCCAAGACTCAATTACATATTTTGGTTGGGAGTCGGGAACCAGGTGTCCAAAGGGGAGGCTGCTGCACAAACCTATTTTCACAAATATAGTACTGTGATCATCGATCGATACCCATGCTTGGGGTGCCAGTTATGCTGTGCACAGTGGCTTGAAGCTGCGGTGGAGTGAGTGAGCTGAGGAAAGAATCAACACAGAAGATGGGGATGAAGGGAAGGGCAGGGCAGGGAAGGGAAGGGAAGGAACATGAGGAAGGAACACGAGGAAGGAGGAAGGAAGTAAGGAAGGGAGGGCATCAGGCAGGAAGGAATGAGGGAAGGAAGGAAGGGAAGGAATGAAGGGAAGGGAAGGGAAGGCAAGGCAAGGCAAGGCAAGGCAAGGGAAGGGAAGGGAAGGGAAGGGAAGGGAAGGGAAGGGAAGGGAA